GCTGCGGTGGGCGACTGGCCTGGCTGCAGCAGCTCTCCAGGCGGACGACCTCGCTGCCACGGGTAAGCTACGGGTTCGGCACCGTCGCTGCATCGCTGGCCTGAGCTTCCTTCCCCTCCACACTCATCTCACACTCACCTCATCATCAAAATCCGCGACCTCGCGAGGCCGCGCAGCAGGCTCCTCTGACATCGAGATCATTTGTCGTCTTCCACGCACGCGTAGAAAGCACCCACGCGCTTCACATCGCTTATAGCGCCGCCCCGCGTCCCGTCATGGTGTCCCCGACCCCTTGAACGTCGCCCGAAAAATCGAGCCCTCGCGACGGCTTTCGGCCAAAACGGGCGACCGGGCCACGGGCGACGAGCGAATCAAACCGGCTCAGCCGTCGCGGGGCGTCGTCTGGCCTCGCGCCGCGCCGTACGGCCTTCGCGCGCGGCCTTGGCGACCGTGGCCGCATCCCCTCCCCGCCCCCCGTGGCACGTCCGCGGTCCTGCGATTATATTCGATCGGGCGAATCTCTTGACAGGTCCTCGATGGCGTCGATGAGGTCCATGCGACTCCACCTTGGGCTCTGGCTGCTGGCCGTGGCGGCGCGGTGCGAGAGCAACCACAGCGTCATCGTCGTCGCCGGCTTCAGCCACACGGGCACGCACCTCGTGTCTCACGCTCTGGAGGCGCTGGGGCTGCGGTCCCAGGTGCGCGCGTCGCACGCGCCGACCATGGACTGGGCGCAGTTCGAGACCGTCGACGCCGTGCTGGACCACCCGGCCCAGGGCGCCTACGCCGAGGTGCTCCGGCGCTTCCCGAAATCCAAGGTCGTGCTGACGACGCGCGACCGGGCCCGCTGGCTCGAGAGCGTCGCGCGCACGGCGTCCGGCCGGCCCGGCTGCGGGGACGCCTGCGGCGTGCCGCCGCGCGCCGTCGAGCGCCTCGAGCGCTACGACGCCGCCGTCGCGGCCGCGGCGCCGCGGGACCGATTGCTGACGCTCGACCTCGAGGCGGGCGCGGCCTACGGCGAGCTCTGCGCGTTCGTGGGCGTCGACGCGTCGGCCTGCGCGCCCGCGGCGACGACGCTGCCGCGCAACGTCGACCGGGAGCGCGACGAGGCGCCGCGGGCCGACGAGGCCTTCGGGGGCGTGCGGTCGCTGCTCCGGGCCGCGCGTCGATTCGAGGCGCGGAGCGCGCGCCCCGTGTCCTGCGCGTCGTCGCTCGTCGTCTACCCGGGCTTCGAGGCGCTCTTCGACGACGTCGTGGCCATCCTGGACCGCGACTGGCGCTTCGGCGGCGAGCTCCGCCAGTTCCTGCCGGAGGTCTTCGTCGTGGACCGGTTCCTCCGGCACCCGTGCCGCGCGCCGTTCGCGCCCGGGGCGCCCGGCGAGGCGGCGCGGAGCCGCGGCGCCATCGACGGGCCGCCGCGGCTCTACTTCGTGCCCGTGCCCTGGCGCGCGCTGAGC